CTCCCCTCCCTCCCCCTCCCCTCCCCCTCCTCCCCCCCTCCTCCTCTTCCTCCTCCTCCCCCCTTTCCTCCTCCTCCTTTCTTCTTCCTTCTTTCTTCTTCTTCCTCCTTCCTCTTCCTCCTCCTCCTCCTCCTCCTCCTCCTCAGGGTCTGACTAAGTTGCCCACCTACAACTAAAAAATAAGTTAAAAAAAACAATGAGGCTGGGCATGTGGCTTAGCGGTAGTGTGCTCGCCTGGCATGCACGGGGCTCTGGGTTCGATCCTCAGCATCACATGAAAATAAAATAAAGATGTTGTGTCCATTGAAAACTAAAAAATAAATATTAAAAGATTCTCTCTCTCTCTCTCTCTCTCTCTGTCTCTCTCTCGAGACTGGGTGTGGTGGCCCTGTAATCCCAGGGACTCCAGGGAGAGTGAGACAGGAGGATTGCAAATTCAAGGTCAGCCTCAGTTATTTAGTAAGACCCTGCCTCAAAATAAAATAAAAAAGGCTTGAAATGTGGCTTAATGATAAAATGCCCTTGGTTCAATCCCCAAGACCAAAAACAACTCCAAAGCAAAGGAACAAAAAACAATCACTCCAAGAAGAATGGACTTTTTCCTGAATGTGTGTGGTGACCAGACCCAGGGAGGAGTCGGCCTTGAGGCCTGGCCAGCAGGGGGTGCCTGAGGCCATAGCTCCTTGTCCCCTGGTCTGGGCTCTGAGTGTGAGATGCAGTTTGGGTGGGACAGACCTGTATGGAGGTTAGAACAAATCACCTTCCTGGTGGAGCTGCTTAGGGCCCAAGGGAAAGAGCGCCCCCATCCTACATCTGCATCAATATTCTGAGCACGCAACTCTGCAAAAAGTCCCTGCTAAGCAGTCTTCAGGCACAGTGGTCATGGTTGTCATCTTGGAGTCTTGGGAGGCCAATGCAGGAAGATTCTCAAAATAAAAATAAAGTGGGCTGGGGGTCTGGCTCATTGGTAGAGCACTCTGAGTTCAATCCTCAGTCCTGGACAAAAGAAAAAAGAAAAGGAGAGGGATGTTATTCTTGCAGGAAATCAAATAATGCAGCTGCGACTCCTGGGTCTGAAGCGAGGCACTGACGTTTCCGTGTGCACGGCATGGCTCGCGGAGCTGTGGTCCATCCCTCCACGTCACTGAGCCTGAGCACATGGAGCCACCGGCTTTGGCCTCCTGAGTCGCTGGGGTTACAAGTGTGCCCCCGTGGCCGCCCACAGTCGGGGTCGTTTAGCCTAGTTGGCCCATCTACTCACTGAAGGGTGGCCTTATTAATTCTGGGGCACGTTGGTTCCTGTGTGGGGATTCTTTTCGGCACCCATGTCCATCATGAGCCTGGAAACGGGCCTGAGATGTCCTGCTGGGTAGGGCCGGCGCCCACTTGCTGCCGGCTGCCCTCCGTGGTGGGGTGCATGCCTCCTGCTCACCTGTGCTCCAGGTGTGTGGGCGGCTCCGCTGGCCGTGCGCATCCCCTCTGTATGCGGGGCTTTTCGTGGCCACTGTGCTGGCTGCTGGCCTGCACTGTTGCCTGCCACAGTCCCTGTCCGCCTGGGCTGCACGGGTAACTCTTCTGTCTTGCCCCACAGAGTGCGTAGAAGAGGCAACACCACGACTTGCCAATGAACGACCGAAAGGAAGATATGGAAATCGCGTCCCACTACCGGCAGCTGCTTCGCGAGCTCGACGAGCAGAGGCAGCACGGCGTCCTGTGCGACGTGTGCGTCGTGGTGGAAGGCAAGGTCTTCAAGGCCCACAAGAACGTGCTGCTGGGCAGCAGCCGCTACTTCAAGACGCTCTACTGTCAGGTGCAGAAGACGTCTGACCAAGCCACCGTCACCCACCTGGACATCGTCACTGCCCAGGGCTTCAAGGCCATCATTGACTTCATGTACTCGGCCCACCTGGCCCTCACCAGCAGGAACGTCATCGAGGTGATGTCTGCCGCCAGCTTCCTGCAGATGACGGACATTGTGCAGGCCTGCCATGACTTCATCAAGGCTGCCCTGGACATCAGCATCAAGTCGGACGCTGCCGACGAGCTCGCAGAGTTTGAGATCGGCGCCCCGGCCGGCAGCAGCACAGAGGCGCTGATCTCTGCTGTGATGGCTGGCAGGAGCATCTCTCCGTGGCTGGCGCGGCGCACAAGCCCCGCCAACTCTTCCGGAGACTCAGCCATTGCCAGCTGTCACGAGGGGGGCAGCACCTATGGGAAGGAGGACCAGGAGCCCAAGGCCGAGGGCCCCGACGACGTGTCCTCGCAGTCCTTGTGGCCTGGAGACGTGGGCTACGGGTCTCTGCGCATCAAGGAGGAACAGATATCGCCTCCTCACTATGGAGGGCGCGAGCTGCCTTCGGCCAAGGACAGCACGATGCCGAGCTCTGCCTCAGAGCCAGGAGCCGGCGACGGCTGGCAGCCCACGGGCCGCAGGAAGAACCGGAAGAACAAAGAGACGGTGCGGCACATCACGCAGCAGGTGGAGGAAGGCAGTGGGGCCGGCTCCCCCTCGCCCGCCTTCCTCCCCACGCCTGGGTGGCCCTTCGGCAGCCGGGACTCAAGTAAGCGTTTCCTTTGCCACATCGGGTCCACGCCCAGTGCCCGGCGTCCGTGGCCTCATGGCTGTGGGTGGAGTGGCGTGGTCGCTGGTGCATGCTGGGGGCTTTCTGCGGTCTCCTCCTCTCATCGGGAGTCGGGGTTCCCACGGGAACATAAGTGACGGGGCTCAGGCTGGGGCGACTGGTGTCTGGGAGCCCCTGCCAGTCCGTTCCCATCGCACTACACCAGTGGCCACCTGGGGCAGGGCTCCTCCAAGGCCAGGGGACCAGCTGAGGGGTCTGTAGGTGGAACAGTGGGGAGGGTCCTGGGGGAGCTCTTCAGCCCCGTGTGGGGTGTGGGTCCAGCTGCTTCCTCTTGTATATGGTGACTGAAGGGGTCATTCAAGGGGTCACTCGCCTGTCACCAGAGTGTCTGTGGGACCCAGGCTGTCCCCTCAGCTGCTGCAGCAGTGCTGTGGCCCTGGGCCTGCCGCAGGATGCAGGATCCGTATTTGCTAAGTGTGGTTCCCCGCCAGGCTAATAGGGGCTGCTGCATGCTGGGGGCCCATGACCCGCACAGGCCCTCTGCCCTGCTTTCCAGGGCCCTGAAGCCATGCATGGGAGCTGGGCTTCAGCCTGCAGGCAGTGTGCTGTCCATCTCCCAGAATGGAAGACGGTGCGCGCCGTGTTCATGCTGGGGCTGCTCCTGGTGCGGAGCACCCAGCAATAGCCTCTGCCTGTGCTGCATGTCCTCTGAGCGGCAGGTGGGGCTCCAACTGTCCTTCCTCCCAGGCCCAGGCCAGAAGGGCACTGATCAGAGCAGAGGTGGCCATTGCTCACTCAGGGAGGCTGCCAGGATGGTTAGAATGCACCCTGGGTACATGTGAGTGGACAGAGGTGTTCATGGGGCAGACACCATAGGGCCCAAAGCCTGCCAAGGTGCAGCCGATGCCAGGCGAGCTTGTGTGCGGGCGGGAGGGCTGGCTGGGTGGGTGGACACTGGGCCCTAAGCTCCTCCTCTCCTTGACGGAAGCCTCGGGAGCTGGGAGTGCTGTGGAGGGTTCCTGAGGCCAGGTCTCCACACTGGCTGGCTCAGTGCAGTAAAACGTACATAGCATGAACCTTACAGGGTGACCACTTGTTCTTTTTTGGCATTGAGGATTGAACTCAGGGGCGTTTAACCACTGTGCCACATCCCCAGCCTTTTTATCTTTTATTTAGAGACAGGGTCTTGCTGAGTTGCTTAGGGCCTTGCTAAGTTGCTGAGGCTGGCCTTGAACTCACGATCCTCCTACCTCAACCTCTGGAGCTGCTGGGATTACAGGCTGGCGCCAGTGTGCCCAGGGACATCATAACTACTTTTAAGTGCACAATTCACTGGCGGGTCACACTGTTGTGCCATGTCGTTGCTCTACATCCAGAACTTATTTCACTGGGTGCTGGGGTGGAGCCCAGGTGCCTGCTGGGCCGATGCTGTGCCCTGAGTCCTCTCCCCCCAGTTCTGTAGCACTTTTTCATCATCCCAAACAGAATTCTGTCCACCACACAGGACCTGCCGTGGGCCCTGCCAGAATCCACCAGCTGTGGAATGCTGTTGTTCACTGCGCACTCTCTGTTCCCAGCCTTCACACTGAGCCTCCAAGGCAGGGCCCAGCTCACCACATTCAGCTGAAGTTGATTTAATTCAGGGTTTCCCTTTTCTGTGGGGATGTCCTGAGCACAGTGGATGTAGAGCAAGTCCCTGGCTTCCACCCAAGATGCCAGTGTCACCTGTCCCCCAGGTGTGACAGTGCAAGGTCCTCCACCACTGGTGCTGAGCTGAATAGAATCAGGTGAGAGTCACTCATGTCCCTGCTGTGCCTATGGGGAGGTACCCACAAGAGCAGACACGTCAATGACTCACTTCTGCTCCCAGCTTTGTTTTACAATCGTCTACAGCTCTGACAAAGCCCCTGGAGAGTGACTAGCCTCCATGGGCACGGTCTGACATGCACAGATGCACCAAGGCCCCCGTGTGTGGTGAGTCACCTGCAGGTGACAGTTCTGGGGGCCTTTGTGTCACAGAGCTGTCAGCGGGTTAGGAAGCAGCACGCCCCTCACGCCTGCTGGCTGGACGTCTCCACAGTTGGGGAGCAGGTGTTTCCAGATTCCAACAAGTGACTGCGGCTGTGTACTTTCCTTTGCGTCTTCAACCCTTAGGTTTCCAAGGCAACCATGAACCGCTCCTGCCAGCATTTTCCCAGTGCTGAGGCGTGGGCGTGACATGTGGGCCTGGGCTCGGGCATGGGACCTGGTGGCCAGTCGTTCCCGAGCTTCTGGCCTCTGCTCTGGCCCCCAGCCTGGGATTCAGAGGTGTGAGTCGTAGTCCCTTAGGGAGGTCAGCTCATTTTCATTGAAGGTTTATTGTATCCTAGGGAGGATTCTCCCCTCTCCCTCCTCTTAGAGGAAGGAGAAAGGCTCTTTCCTAAGGAAACGTGTTGGGTGGTTACTGCAAGTCATCTGGGCATCGGCCAGATCTTGGACGCCCAGCCCTCCCGCCAGCTCACTCACCTTTTCTGCTCTGTGTCCCCTTGGCTCGTGGTGCCCCAGGACCCGTTGGCCATTAGGAGCAGTTCTCCAAGTACAGGTCCCATGTGTTCTGACCTAGCTGCTCTGAAGACAGAGTATTCCACTGTCCCCCTGTGAGAGCGTCTGGGACAGCACTGGGCAGGACAGAGCCGCCATGCAGCCCTGGCACAGTCAGGGCTCTGGCCAGGCCTGCCCTGCTGGCGTCAGCTTCCTGGGGCTCTGCCTCACTGCCCCGTCTGCAGAGGACAGCGACTTCAGTGGTGGCTGGTGAGGCCTTGGGCGGTGGAGAGGAAGCTGCTGATTCAGGAATGGCGGAGGAGCAGCCCAGGGCCCCGTCCAGGGTTTTGCAAGAGTGAGGTCCTGTAAGCTGAGAGCTGTGGCACACACTTATCACCCCAGGAGCCTGAGGGACGAGGCAGGAGGCTCCCAAGTTTCAGGACAGCTTGGGCAACTTAGCAAGACCCTGTGTCAAAATAAAATAAAAGCCTACGATGTAGCTCAGTGGCAAAGTGCCCTTGGGTTCCATCCCCAGTACTGAAAAAATAAATAAAGCCTTGAGGTTTTGTGTGTTTTTTGTTTGTTTGATTGGTTTCTTGGTACTAGGGATTGAACCCGGGGTACTTACCCACTGAGCCAAATCCCCAGTCCTTTTTTGTATTTTGTTTAGAGACAGGGCCTCGCTAAGTTGCTGAGGCTGGCTTTGAACTCGCGATCCTCCTGCCTCAGCTGTCGGAGCTGCTGGGATTGAGCCTTTAGCTTTATTCTAGCTAGAGCACAGTTGTGGTTTTGTAGAACCCATGTCTGTGCTGAACTTCAGTGATGTTCAGTAATGTTGGAACTCATTGCATCAGGACTTTCATGACCACACTGGGACCACAGAACACCCAGTTGGTAGATGGGTCCCTGGAGGCTCCCGTGTCACCCTTGTCATGGCAGCCTCCAATCCTGCTTGGGGTGGGGAGTGGGCAGCGCCAGCTCCCAGGACCTGGCTCCTCTTGGCCTCAGCCCATCCCAGCCTCCTTAGTTTCCCTTCCAAGCTCTCTTCAGCCTCTTGGTGCTCCTTGCTGGAGATGAAGTGAGAGAAGCCAGGGGCATCAGAACCTGACCAGATCACACAGGTGCAGACTGACCGACTTCCGGAAGCTGTGGGCCTGTGCGTCTGTCTCTGTGTTGCATTGGGTGCAGGCTTCGCGAAGCAGCTGTAGACAGGAAGGGCTCACCTGAGCCAGGTGCAGCCTGCAGGGCCCCGTCAGGCTGGAGGGCTCACCTGAGCTGGCTCCACCTCTGCCATCTAGGTGAGGGTGCACTCATGGTGCCGAACAGAGGGCAGGAAGGTGAAAGCAGGAGCCAGATGCTCGTGGGGCTCAACGGGCCTCTGCTTCACAGGGGAGCAGGCAGGTTGCTGCTCGTGCCAACTGAGCTGAAGGTCCAGTGGACTCTGGCCTCTCATCTGGGGTGGGTGCTGAGCTGGGCCTCAGGACCTCCACGCTGGCTGTTCTGACTGAGCCACCGGGACTTCTGCTGCCGACCTGCTCCTTCAGGCTGAGCTCACGGGCAAGGGCCTGTCTTTGCCACTGGCCTTTCTAGGAAACCTGATCCATAAAAGGGTGAGTCCTGAGGGGTCTTGTGGGCATCAGCTCAGCTTACTAGTGGCCTGTCTGCTCAGCAGGGCACCTGGCGGAGCTGGGAGGATGCCTGGTCCCCATGCAGAGGCAGATCAGCCTGGGCTGAGGAGGGGCCAGGCGGGCCTGCTCTAGGACACCACCTCGCTCTGGCCTGCGGACAGTGGGAGGCACAAGGGTTAGGAAAGTCGCCCTTTGCTGAGCAGCACTTTGTGGTGGTGGCTTTTGTGATACTGGGGACTGAACCCAGGGCCTCCTGCATGCTAGGGGAGTGCTCTACCACTGAGCCACCTCCCCAGCCCCTTTGACTTTTTATTTTAGGACAGGGTCTTACTAGTTGCCCAGGCTGGTCTTGCATTGCAGTCCTCCTGCCTCTGCCTCCCGAGTAGGTGGGGTCACAGGGGTGTGGGTTACTCCCAGCACATTTGAGAGCTCTTGTCACTGCTTTCTTAGAAAATGTTTGAGGGTGAGAAGAGCACAAGTTCAAGGCCAGCCTCAGTCAAAGCAAGGCGCTAAGCAACTCAGTGAGACCCCGTCTCTAAGTAAAATATAAAATAGGGCTAGGGATGTGACTCAGTGGGTAAGCACCCCTGGGTTCAATCCCTAGTACCAAAAAAAAACTGTTTGGGGGGTTTACAGCGGGTACGTGCAGCCAGTGTTGAGCACCCTAGCAAGTACTGTTTTCACACAGGTGGACAGAGATGCATGTCACTCAGAAATGTCTTTGAGGCCCCTCAGAGTAAGCATGCATACTTTTTTTTTTTAATATTTATTTTTTAGTTTTAGGTCAACACAATATCTTTATTTTATTTTTATGTGGTGCTGAGGATCGAA